AGAATTTTATGAAATCCTACATTTTGAATATTAGAGCTTCACGGAGGTTAGGATTTCATACATATTTTTTAAAACATCCCTTTGTATATTTGAAATAAGTTATTGTATCCTTTGACACCTTAATATTTTTAAAAATACAATTGTACATACATAAAATATTTATAAGAAAATCTACTTACTGAGATATTACACTTCACGGAGGATAGGTTTTAGACTTTTAAAACATTGTAAAATAATTAATTGCGGTTAAAAGCTGTAACATCTACTTAATTATGAAAGATTAAAACACAATAAAAGTGTAGGTCAAACTCATTTAATTTTATTAAATATCACGTGGTTTACTATCGGGGGAAATTTCGTGAGATTCACCCAAAAACTCTTAAAAAATGTTTTTATATTATAAAATCTTGCTATGTAGCTCAACAATATAGTCATTTATGGAAATCTAAAAATCGATTTCCCATTTCCATTTTGTAGAAGAGCACTTTAACGCTCAAGGAATGATCCTCGACCCACCTGAAAACCGTTAGTCAAAACGCTGATCCCAACATGTAACCTTTCCCTTGTTTGTGCGAAATACTATTATAGTGTATTCCATTTAAGAATAAAGCATAAACGTTTTTATTTTGTTAATTTATTGCTTTTTCTGTGATTTATTGGCATTAATCTTTGTTAAAAATTTGTTACTGAACAACAGGTAAGTCCCTTAATTCCTTAACATAAACCAATAAAACAATGTGGATAGTGTGGAAAACCAACCATTTCTCCTAAAAAATAAATATGAGCAACATATAGGACGAGGTCAAAGAATAATAATTTTTAATATGGTAAGGAAAATCAAAAAGTGTCAGTCAATATTAACATTCGAAGAAACCGGTATTTCAAAAAATAATTGAATGAAGAATGTTTTACCAACGTTTTACTATTAAATACATATGATGCAAATGATAATGAAGTTGGTAAATCCCATTAAATAATTATAACCCCATTAAAGTTTCATTTTAATGATACACATGATAAGTATCTAATCTAGCTTTTGTGCTTGGTCCTAATGTAAGTGTTGTAAATCTCCGTTTGCACAACAAAGTAAATAGATTAAATATGATTATAACTTTATTATATATGTTACGTTTTAACCATGAAAAATGCGCCAACGTAAACAAACAACAAACTAATATTAGCCTCTTGATAAGGTCCTCTTCAGAATATCCTAATTTGAATTAAACATTAAGAAGTTTGTTTTCAAGGAAAATATAAACCATAAATAAAAGAACGTCAAGCTCTAAACAGCTTGATTTTCATCTTTAAAGGCAGTGATTATTCCAAAAAAAGGTGCCCAAATCCTCAACATCCCGAGCAAATCCCTTTGCTCAAAGACTGATGTCTTGCGGCAGGCTGAAGTTAAGACGTTTCCAAGGGTCAGTTCGCAAGGACATTGCTTTTAAATTAAATTTAATGCCCTTCTGCCACGATCATACACGAAGATGGATGGACGGATAAGCCTACTGGATAGTTAAGGAGCGGCCCAATTCACGGCTGAGTCAATAGCTAGATGACCTGCTTAATAAGGGTCACGCAAGAAACCTCGAAAATTTAGAGTGTTTTTATTTTACAAACAATTATTCTGCATGTCGAGTTTGGTTAAAAATTAATCAATTCCACTCCATTAATTATGTGAAATGTGCATTAAAAAGTAATGACGTTTTACTAAAACTTTGCTGATAGGTCGTTTATCAATTTTCATTAAAAGTACATTAATGTTTATTAAAGTTTCATTCGAGCTATTATAGATTTTAACTTTTTTATTTTTGGGATTCAACAATTTGATGCAGTCATTATATAAGTGGTCCAGAACCCTCTTTTCTTATCTACTTACATACATTAAAAAAAATCTTGAAATAACTTTTTAAATATTGAAATACTTTTTGTGCAGTCATTATATGAGAGGTCCAGAACCCTCTTTTCTTATCTACTCACATTAAAGAAAATCTTGAAATTACTTTTTAAATATTGCAATACTTTTAGTCGAACATTTGAAAAGTAAAGTCAGTTTCCCGACAATTTTTTGTTTTATTTTCTCTAGTGCAGTTTGAAATGCACGCAACAAGAATCAAAGCGAGGAATATATTGGAATAAATATGTTATGCTTCTGGAAAGCGAAGTCTGATTGATTTTTGCTTTAGGTCGACAGAGAGTTAAGCTATAGACTCTTTGTAACGTTTGACGTTTTATATAGCGGTAAATTTATCCAGTGGCGGCCTGAACGAGCCTGCAAATGAGAATAGACGGTGTTTACGTATGGATACGGAGCTGCAAATTTTAGTTATTGAGTTTTCTGTTTTGGTTTGCGAATTAAAACATTGAACTGGGGAGGAGGGGAAGCTAATGATTCATGAAGTGTCTGGGCTTTGGAGAGACACAACAGACAAAGCCACAACGTCATTATTATCGACGCTTTATTGCCACCACTTATCACTCAGTTTACCGTCATAACACTCGAAGAGAGGGGCGTTAATGATGCGATCGATGGGTTAAGCTAATATACCGCATAATAATTGCTTAATCGGAGTGTTTAGTGAATTATTGTAGCACATTGATACAAGTGATACCATTTGGTTTTAACAGGTTTTCCTGAGAGGTGGATTGGCAGAGTGGCCAGCGACATCTCCAGATCTCACCCCTTTCGATTATTTCTTATGGGGCTACCTTAAATCAACTGTATCACTGTATATCTTAGAATAAGGTTATTGTTTGGTTAATTATAAACACGTCGCATACTCTGATTGGTAAGCAATTGTTTATGTACCGTCTATTTAATCGCAATTTTCCATCCCATCGATCTTCGCCCCCTCAAACTGAACACAAACAAACGAAGATTTCACCCAACGCAACATAGCTCCAGTGTTTCGCTGAATTTTCCATAATTGCGTCGGGCGTTAACCGAGAAATTATCCTGCTAAACGGCGGGTGTTTAAAACGATTAGACCACGTTTAATTGGTAGGGGCTTGTTTGTACGAGAAGGTGAAACGAGCTAAAGTCTAGTCAGTCGGTAATTTTCGATGGAGTACTTATATATACAAAGTTTTAGCAATAATGATGACTGAACCTTTCCAAGCTCAAACTAATTGAAATGTTTGACTTGAGAGGATCTAAAATGTTTTAGCAATGGCTTCATTGGTTTTACTAAAATCAGCGTTTCTCTTGAAAAGAAACGTGAATTTCAAACGAGTCAAGAACCTTATTTCATCTCGTCATAAATGTTTAGACCACCTAAAGAGGCTTTTAAGTTTGGGGGTCTCTGTCATCCTTGTTAAGCACAATAATAAATGGCCGTACAGCAATAAACATCAATTATTGTCTCTGGAACAGCCGAAATCGTCCTTTTGTCAGCTCGCGTATTGTGCTTGTCATTGGCGGCTCATGGAGCATTTTGCAGGTGATATTCTGCGACGCGTTGACATTTTGAGGGTGGGGCGCCACTGGTGTTTGTCCAGCGGGGCTGAAATCTATGGAGGCTGGGGCAGGCGTCAACGCAAACCTTCTCATCTGATACGGTCCATAAATACTTGCTGATTTGTGTCCATTACATCGGGAATGATTTAAAGCGAACGAGAAATTTATGGCACAAATAAGGCCGCTTTTTAACGCGCATACGATTGCGACCTAAAGGAATGTCAGAGGGCACGTCAATACGTCAAAACTCAATCGATGCTTTTGTTAAATAACTTGGGTTTGTTGAGCATTCATCAACAGACAAGACAAATTTAATGGTATCTTTTATTTCATTTTTACAGTTCTACCGCAATTGAAAATAAACTTAGTTGTGTAGTTGTATGAATTTACTGCCGTGGTAATTGGTACGTAAACATAAATATAAACTCCAGAAAGTCTAACTTTGTAAGTTTGATTACAGTGTCGAAGCTTATAGCCTGGTAAATTATTAATTACGTACTTGGCAATTCGCAGGTTAACGGTACGGTCTAATTGAATTAACGGCGCTTGGTAATTAATTGACGTTTGAATTTCATCGTCATCGGCCAAATGACATCTTGGAGGATTTGCTCCTAATTATGCAATGTGTCTCTTTTCATCTTCTTCATGTCTTATGATAAAAGATAAGCCTTTCTTCAAACAAAAGATAGGATGCATCAACGTCATACTGCAGAAAAATCTTGCCGATTTATCTTGGCGCTTCTCCTTCCTTGGAAGTAAATAAATTACCGTAATAACTGTCGCTACCTGTTCCGCCATGGCAAAAGGTGGTGGTAATATATACGCGAATAACATCTTTTCCCGAATGATGCATAGATATCTACCTACATCTGAAGGTGGAAGGATTCCAGCTCGTTTAATAGGCAGCCGTTCAGAATGAGTTATGACAGTTAAACACGCTAAAACTCCTTCAAGTCTCGAAACTTGACTCGTGAACTGTTTTTGCCGTGCGGCTGAAATCTCGCAGGACCAAGTTCATTTACTATTATGCTTCCTATTACTCCAAACGCTTGTCCTGACTTTACGTCAAAAAAGTTATATCCTGGGTGAATCTCACGAAATGTCCCCCGATTGTGTTACCCCGTGATATTTAATAAAAATAAATGAGTTTGACCAACACTGTGTTTTGATCTTTCTTAATTAAGTAGATATTACTGCTCAGGTTCCAGATTTTTAATCGCAATTAATTATTTTTTACAACGTTTTAAAAGTCTAAAACCTAAACCCTAAACCCTAAAAATTATTCAAAATCGGCAGATGAAATCCGAAATCATAGGTAAAGGATATAAAGAGCACACATCACAATTTTTTGTGTTGTAATTCGATTTTGTTTTAACTATGTGGACATAAATTCTACTTAAAGGTGTTGAGATTGTATCCGAAAACTACCTAACGATCCTATTTATTTTCCGGTCTGAAAAACCGTGTACAGTTGAGCCTGGCTCGGGGCTTAATTCGGGAAATTACCGGGTAATAAGGAAGGCCGTAACGGTCGGGAGTAACTCACCGAAACTCGACGAACCCTTGGTGCAGAAGCAGTGCCATAAAATCGCCAGCCATGTCGTCTCGCTCGCCGGTCAGGAAAAAAATTCCGTCGTAGGCTTCGGGCCTCAGTTCCAGGCTCAATTGGACGTGCTTGTAGGCGCCCCGCAAGGCGGGAAATGCCAGCCAGCTGGAGCCGGTGAAGCGAGGAGACCGGATCTCCATATCTGAAATAAAAGAGGAAATGTACTCGGGATTAAACGACGCAGGAAATAAATATCAAGTGGATTAGGGTTTGTGCAAATGGGTCATTCTTAAAATTGTGTACTATTTGATGTTTTCACCTTGTTTTGAAAATATAGAAAAGAAAATTAAATTACTTTTCTGTTACCTAATATCAAACGATGTTCTGGATTTTTTAGAAACAACTGTCTGGTATGCGCGAAAAAAATTTTTTTCATGTTAAAATAATTAAAAAATGCACACAAATATCACTTCCATTTGTAATTCTCCCACATTAATTAATTATAATATGCTGTACTAATTTTGTACTAACTAATTTTCCTCAAGTTAGTATATAGTTTTAAACATTTATTTCAGAACTTGCCATTTTTAAAGCTTTATAATGTTTGTATCCGAAGTAAAGCATCATTTCCGTGGACAACGCAATAACCCAGTAAATTTCGTAAATAGTGGCAACAATGTTCTTCCTGTCGCCATGATTGAATGCGCGTTTGCCTCAAGAATATTGTTTATCTGCTAGTATCGTCGTGTTGTGTTTTGTTTTTCATTGTTTGTAACAAAAATGTTGCAATATTAATTATGTTAAGCTGGAGTGATCACTTCTGTGGAGTCGACAAAAAAGATAAGATACTTAAAACGTATTATTTTTATGCTTTTATGAAGTTTTGGTAATAAAAACTTGCTTCTCTTGAAACCAGAACACATAACCTAACATTTTCCAACGTATAAATAAATATTGGCGGTAAAATATTCACTTCTGTGGACATCATTTCCGTGGACCTCCTATCGACAGCAGTATATTTTTAGTTCTCAAGAATTATATAATATTAAAAATTTGTTTTAGAAAACATTCTACCAGTGTTTTGCATTAGTGTTACCATTATCTTTTAGTTTTGCCCATTCCGTGGACATTTTTATAACTTCTGTGGGTTATATTATTTTAAATAAAAAACAACGATATAAATTACTGTGTTTTTTATTTTATCTTTAGTGGCCTCTATAAACTTGATACATTACATTAGGTAGTAATTTGGACATACATGTTCTCTAATTTTTTAATATATTTTACCCAAAATCACCTCCGTAGATCAAAATGTCTTTTCTGTGGACTTTATTTTTATATTAGTTAAAGAACCTCGAAATAATTTTTTGGGACCTTATCCATGCATAGTGCATGAGAGTATTTGTATCAAAGAATTTTATGAACATAAAAAATATATACAAAAGAAACATTTTTTTCAAAAAATGTATTAAGAAATTGTACATTATTACAAGATTGACCCAAATATAATTTTTTTTTAGTTTTGCTAAAAGTAGAGAACTGTGATAGTAAAAAAATTTACTTTGAAGTAAATTTATTTATCTCCACGCGGTCTATAATTTAAACTTTATTGTTGTCAACATTCGATAAAGAAATACCTTGTTATGGCCTAGGCCGATAAAATTTTTTATGAGGCAAGTAATTAGTTAGATTTATTCTCGCTAGGGGTATTGTTTTGACAAATTAAACCTTTTCTTAGAAATTAACGTACTAAACTGGTTTAATTTATTTAAAATAAGCACTAATTTGTTTGTTTTACTTTTAATGTTTAATATTTTTCATTAAATTATTGTAAAATTAAATATGAATAATAAAACAAAAAGTGAGGTTAGGCAACCAAGAAAACGCACGATTCTTTTTCTACGATTTAAATTATCTTTAAGTTTTAATTTGCTTTAAGTTTTTAGTGAAATTAAATGTTAAACACAGCTTAAACATTCCAAACTACCTATTTTTTAAATAAAAATCCAAACAAATTGAAATTAGATACCTACCTATTTATTAAACAATTAATTGAATTCAATGTAATAGCAAAAATCCATTTCTACTTAAATCATGTTGCTAGGTATTGTCAAACTATTACTGCTTCTAAAAGCAATAATAATTATTGTACATTTAATGTAATCTTTAGCTAATAAATAAATGAGATTCTAAAAAAGTGAGGTTAGGCCGCTTTGATGTTGAATTAAATTGACCTATATAAAGTGCTTTGAAGATAAAATGTTGTATGCCTTTCGGCCAAGAAGTGACTTTTTGTGCAGTAGCATCAGCTGTTACCATAGAAAGTTTTTATTTTGTTAATTTATTGTTTGTTCTGCGATTTATTGGCTTTATTTAATGCATTAACCTTTGTTGATATTTGTTACTGAACAACAGGTAATTCCTTAACATAACTAAAGAACAGTCGAATAATTAAGGTTATGTTTCTTAATTTAATGTTAATTTTGGTATAGTAAATTCAGGGTTGCTATGATTTGTCCATATTTTTTGTAACAAATTTAAATCCTAAATTAAGCGTTTAATCAAATTGCATTAACCGACTAGGTGCATGCAAATGAGTCACGCGATCCTTTCTAGCATAGGAAAACCTTGGTTTATACTTGTACTAAGCTCTGTAATAAACAGCAGTATTATACCAGTTTTCATTGAAAACTTTTCAAATTAAATATAACAACGACCTGAATTGACTGAAACCTTGGATAATAAAAAGGAAAAAGAAAATCGCGTTTATCATGAACATGGACGATGTTTTTATCATGGAGATTGCTGTCAAAGTACAAGATAGACAAATTAATGAGGGAATATCGAAAGTATTGACAAAACAATTACATTAGCGCAGTAAATAAGTAATCGCTCTTTTATAATTTGTCCATGACAAACGACGATCGATTTCAGTTTTACTGTTCATTATACGCGCCTTTGTTTGCCCCTCTCAATAAAATCGATAAATGAGGTTATAAATATCATTTTATCGTTTTTTTAGCGAATTTTCTGGAAAATAAACGATGAATTAACCAAATTGAACCAATTTTTCCACTTTGGGAGAATATACTTTTTCTTTTTTCTTAAAATGATTTAAATTAAAAATTTGTATAGAGCGCCATCTATGAAACAATAGGGGAATCTGTGTGTCACCGTAAAATGTCAAATTTTTACATTTTATAAACACAATTATAAAGCTTATAAATCGAAATGTATTTCTTGAAAATTTACAGTTTCACAGTGAAAGTAAAGAAAATGTTTTATGAGGACTTTAAGTGGAGTCCGTGCCCGAATTTAAGTTATAGTTTACTGCCGGCGAAATTAAAAGGTCGGTACAATGTTCATATAAACTTTTCAAATATTGGCGTTGAGAAACTATTTAATACTTTTGTATTTTTATATTGAGATAATAAAATAATTTTCACATTTAGTATTATTTTACAAGGAAGGCACTTTATTTTAACGATTGTATGACATTTGACAACTGTCAACTAACTTAAAACTAACTTCAGCCCGTGACTAAAGCGCCATAAAGCCACAACTTGTCAATGTGTATTTAAAAGGTCACTTAGTGTCATGGAAACATGTACGATAAAGGGCGTTTTAAAGGTGGGAGTAGAAAAATTCCTTTAAATCTATTAACAAAAATAGTACAAATTAAATTTTCAACTAAACATTTTATCCAGGGAAAAATTATACTACGTTGCCAATTCAGTATGCAAGTTTTGTAGGATGAAAGTATATAGGTATATATACATAATGCATGACATTTTCATCACCCTTATGTTTTGGTCTTATCAAGGTATTATAATATCGAAATTTCCATATTATTATATTTTTCTCCCAATATTTCTGTTGGTATTTTACATTTGCGTTCGATAAAAGCCGTTCTATTTCTATTTTAATACCTAATACATCATATTTTTTCAGTACCTGCATAAATAGCGATTGCAAAAACAAAATTTACTTTATAATATTTGATTTAGAAAAAAGACAATTTACTAACTGATTTTTTTATACATATATAATATAATAGTATAATAATAATGAAGTTTTTTTTTGTAACTCCCTGTATACCATAAAAACCATAACATACCATATTTTGTAAATATATTTAAAAATAATAAAAAAAAAAATTAAAAAATTACTGGGCTCGTCCGGGATTTGAACCCGGGACCTCCCGCACCCTAAGCGGAAATCATACCCCTAGACCAACGAGCCGCTGAAGAAATATCGATTAACTGTAAACTTGTTCGAAATGTAAACTATTATAATTTAGAGAGAGCACATTTAATAAGAAATATGAATTAATATTCTGGATTTTTTTTAACATAAAAATTATACTATTTAGGCAAGATTTAAGAAGTTTGAAAAAATTATAACAGTAGGCCGAGAGCAAATTCAGCATTGCCAATGTAGTAAAAATATAACGTTATGTTTTAATTAACAAATTATTACTTTATAACAAATTTAATTATCATTAAAAACTAAAAACAACATAAAAGTAAAAAAGTAACAATGTTAATTGGTAATTTGTTGTTATAAAGGCAAAGATAAGGTTTATAACTGTCATAGTTTTGTGTTTCTTAAGTTGGCAGCACAAAATTTGAAATCTATTTAGTATATTATTATAAACTTAATTTTTATTTTAATTAAATTAATTTGTACATCTATCTAAACAATATTTTTATTTGTTTTTTTCCAACGCATTGAAATATTTTTGATTAAATTTTAGAACCTCGGTTTAAATTTAAATAAAATAAATAAAATTTAATTGAAACAAAATAACCAACAAAATCTGGTCATGAAACCAAAACAAATAAAATAATTTATGAATAATTCTGATTAGACAGAAAAATGTGTTTTGTACTGACCTTTTTATTTCGCATTAAAAATAAAACACCCTTTTCACTGCCGTTGTATTGGATTTAAACCGTTTTTAATCCATTTTCACGGAGGAAATTTTGATTTTTGCAGACGAATTTGACAAACTAACGCTGTCATTTTCAAAGCCGGTAAAACAGACACCCAACATCACTTTGGTTACTCTATTTTCGTATAGATGTCGCTCTATTTAAATTAAAGAATATTAATTATTGAATTAATAAATAAAGCAATTAAATTGTTGTTTTTATTTCCAGTGTTAAGTATAAAATATTTTGCTCTTCATGTCAACTTAAA